CTCTCTAAAATCAACTAATCCGTCTAATCCTCTTCAAATACCGTACTATTTTTTCTCAATTACATTCTCCTATATCAAATATTCATAAAGCCATTTAGCAACTAGACCGTCTAGCTACTCAAGTCTATTATTCCTTTATAAAGACGGTGATAGATAAACAATAACAATAATAATAATAATACATAATAATAATATTTACAATATCACTAAGAATATTTATAATAATAATTTTAAAAAATAATATTTACCATAATAGTAATAATATTTATGATAATTATATTAATAATAATATCATTAACACCAATAAATAATAATAATCAATCACCACAATAAAAAAAATCAAAGAATAAAATAATTTAATTCAGAAGACTCACCATTCCATATCTCTCCTCGCAGTTGCAGAATATCTCGTACCAGACAATATATATACACCAGTATACATACCAGACAGCACCAGTGCTCAGTATCATATAATATATACACATACCATTATCACAACTCCATCCATATTAAATAATAATTGACTGCAATATAATAATATTAGTAATAATAACAGTAGCAACAGTAATAACAATAACCCAATATGATAATATATCACAAACATTAATAGTAATATCAAATTGTAGCAGGAATAATACCGTTACCCAGCACAGAAGAGCAGTCGCGACACACAATACCAAATAATACGACGACACCAAATACATCGCACCCGCCGACCAACCAACCGCTCACTACCACCACAAGACATAACAATGACTGTTCACTGCCGACGCCACCTATTATAACATTGCGCGAGCGCGCGCGACTTCACTTTCCCGCGCATTTTGCCCGAACGCTCTACTTTGCCATACGTTAGTGATCAAATGATCTGATGTCAGTTTTTGATCAAAACTGCAAATTATGATTATTATTCCGGATTATTATATATTATTTAATGTTATTATGCAATTTGTAGTAGTAATAATAAATATATAATATTATATAATAATAAATATATAATAATATAATATTTATAGTAATAATAATAAATATATAATAATATATAATAATAAATAATGATAAAATATACATTAATAAACAATAATAAATACACACAATAATAAATAATAATAAAACTATAAGCCAAATACACCACTCACCATCGCAAATCCATCCAAACCTCTGACGTCACACGATCTCCTAGTGACGTCACATGACGTCATCAGCCATTACCATTCCAAATCTTCCATCGTCCAAATTTCCCGCGTAAAAACGCCCTCCACGTAAATTTTCTCGTCTCACCTTTCCATTTTCCATAAAAATATCGAATTTTTCTCCCTTTTTCCAGGTTCCATCGCAGTCAAACTCGCCCGTTCCTTGTCCCGACCACATTTATCACTTCATTTAACGTCACTAAACCTCAGTGTGACGTCATCGCCACCGCCCACGCAAATCTCCGTTTTCCAATGGTTCATACGACAACGTCCCTCCAACCTTCCAATTTTCCATCGCAACAACATTCGCCCGCTCCTTGCCTCCTCCATATTCACCACTGCTCGCAATCTCGCCGTTCTGCTCTCATCCGCACCGTTTTCTTTAACCATAACGTTACAATTTTTAAAAATTTTCAAAATTTTCAAACTTTTTTCAAAATTATTTTTCAAATTATTTCCACAAATTATTCAGTTTCAACAAATTATTCATCACTA